CAAAGCTCTATTGAAACATTTACGCACTTACAGCATATCTAGGAGTTGTTTGTTGTGATCGCACTTTTCTGCTTTCAAAACGTATATGATCAAAAAGGTTGGGGGATTATACTTCAATTTAAGACATGATTTCTGAAGTTATGTTTGAATTTTGTTAAATACATATTTTATGGTATTAATGATTTGGTTCCATAAGTTGGTTACGGTTCTTAATCTGTAATTTTATCAAGAAACCCGCCCCAAATATTTTGTTTCTAAAGTATCGCACTCATTTTAGACAGTCTAAACTCTGGTTTTCATTGTATGCTTCTACACTATTCAACTTTAAATAATTTTTGCTTTCAGTCTATGTACGTACCATACTAGCTCTACACATTTTTATCATTTTATCCTGAGTATGAACAGTTGAAGATCGCCTTGATGTATAAAGTATATCTTTCTTTTCAATGACACGCATTTGAGCAATAAATACTTTTAATTCATTATTTAGCTATCAGATGGCCGCATTTAGTCGGATTAATTCCAGTCTACAGTTTTTTATTTTTTGTATTTAACCTTGCAATTTTACATACTTTATATAAGCAGCATACCTAGTTGTCCTTCCTACTCCAAAATCAATAAATTCTCACCACATTCCTCAACCCACACATACGTTTTAGGCCCCAGAATGCCTTGTATATAGTGAATTTTGTGCACTTGGTTTTATGCATACAAGACAGTTCAGATAACCTCACAATCTTTGAGCAAATCTTTATACTAAAACTAGTCAAAAGTGAAATTTTAATCATATCATACATATTATTATGTATTTTTATGTTACATTCCCACTTCGATTTTCCGGCCATCTGTCGTCCTCAGTAGTGCCCGCTATATCATCAAATTTTGGGGACTTATTTACCACTACAAATCATTCCCCTCTAGTGGGATAGTAATGACCCCAAGACATGGGCAGACAGAAGTTTAAACCTAACGAGTCTGTGGTTGGTAAACACTCCTCTGATAGCTTGCTATGCTTCGCAGCGTCTTGTCATCTTTTCTTACTACAAGATTTCGTGATTTCTAAGATGCGGTCGGCAGATGCAGCCAGCTCGTCTAAGGCGTTGTTTAGAAATAGAAACCAGCACAGCTTGCACCTGTTGAGGAAGTTTGGATAAGAAAAGTTGTTTGAATAGGCCATCATTGAACGTTCTTTGGCCGATAACCTCTCTCATTCGTTGCAACATGTCTGTCGCAGAACCGTGTTTCAGGTCGGTGTTATTAAGGAGTTGGTCTAACCCTTGTCGATCAGTTAGGTCTCCGCGTTTAGGAATAGATCGTTTCAGTGTTTCGTAGGGTTCCAAAACATCACTAGTAAACATACTAGGTGTTACGTACCTGTTGAATTCGCGCGGCAGTGTTTTGACTACTGCGAGGAATTGTGCACGTGTGTCGTTCACGCCGTGCTCGTAAAACTCGGCTTCTGCATAGCTGAACCAGGCCTCGATGTTGTCTGGCCAGAAGGGCATTAGTTAGAACGAAAGTGGGGACATAGTCTTTAGCTCAAGTACCTTAGGTGTCTGTTCCGTCATGGTGAAATATCAGGAACGAGTAATATATATATATAACCAAAAACACGAAAAATATCACAATATATGATGATTGAAATATACCAATAATATACAGAATTCCAAAGTAGAACAGACTCACAATTTATGACTTGGTGAACTAGATCACGTTGAACTCACCAATGAAGACGCCACAGGTATTCGGAGTTTGACAATCCTTTAACCAGTAACACCTAATATGAATCGTACCCACCAAATGAAATCAAAAGACAGAAGCGATAAAGTTGGAAGATATATTTGATATGCTATCAATATATCGAGGATCGACTGATCTAATCTGGTTAGCGATTGCAGGGGTTGTTGGACACGGCGTTTCCACTCGTGATCTGGTGAGGATGCATGACCGAGCGCATTCAGCTAGGTGAGTCCGTTAAAATTGTCGTGGTCACAATCCAATCTCGAAAACTTGCAGAGCTATTGATTGGGGGTTTATTTACCGCTACACTATTGTAGTTAATTGACTAGGCTTATGGGACGATGTTGAAGCCAGTAAAAAGTGGTGTACCCCAAGGCACCATCTTAGGCCCGCTGTTCTTCCTTCTCTATGTTAATGAGTTACCGCTGTTACTTGGGTTGTCGACATTATTGTTTGCGGATGATTTAAAAATCTGGAGAACAATAAAAAGTGCGACTGATCATCTGGATCTTCAGGCTATCTTGGACAATTTAGTTAGATGGGCTCGGAAGTGGGGCTTGAAAAACAATGCTAGGAGGAGTGTACTAATGTACGTCGGTCACGGTAATAGTTACCGTTACACTATTGACGGTAAACCTCTTTCATGCGTTCAGGAGCATGAAGACTTAGGAGTAGTATTAAGTCATGATTTAAAACACAACTACGCATTACAAAGCAGCCGCTGTAGAAGGTTTTCGTACGTTACGGTCACTTCGCCGAGTGTTCAGATCTTTTGACGAGGAAACGTTTCGAATTTCATATCCCATATATGTTAGACTACATTTAGAGTACTGTATCCAAGCAGCTAGCCCGTGTCTGGTAAAGGATATTAACTCTCTTGAGCGTGTTCAGCGTGTAGGAACAAGATAAGTGAAGGGTCTTTCTAGGCTCCCTTACGATGAGCGTTTCCCCTTGTCGTATCGTAGGACATGAGGTGTCCTTATACTGACATTTCGTATCTTTAATTATGATTTGGGTGTTAATATGTCTAATCTTTTTGCTCCCTCCAGCACTAATGATCTGCGAGGTCATAGCAAGAAGGTTCATAAACCACGATCTAATAAACTTAAAGTGGGGTCCCGTTTTTCTCATCGAGTAGTCTTTTCCACTCGTGATCTGGTGAGGATGCATGACCGAGTGCCTTCAGTTAGGTAAGTCCATTAAAATTGTCATGGTCACAATCCAATCTCGAAGACTTGCAGAGATATTTATTTTTCGCTACAATATCAACCCTTTCTGCTGACACAATAAAAAAGATATTGGAACTCCATAGCACTATATATTACTAGGTCAATATGGGTCAAATACTACCTAATCTTGCGACTGAGGACTGAAAGAGCTGACTCTATGTCGTGGGACTGCAAGGTGAATGGTCCGATCTGGTTGTTTGTAACGCGTTCAAAACTTTACGCTACCAACCTATTTCTCAGTTATCCGAATATCTTAACCTTAAGATTGTGTAATTCCTGACTGTTGTTGACTTCTCTCATCATCAAAAGTGAGTAGGTGAGACTAAAATTTATGGACAAACAATCCATTTACGATAACACGTTTTGGATTTCGGTGCGAATGTCTACATCTATCTAATTAAATAGCGTTTGGGCAATTTACCTTATGTCAGTTCGTGATGAAAACCCTAAATCTAATTTCTAACTATCAACTGTCGATCATAATTCTAATTCCTCTTACTGCTTTATAACCCTCATTTAGTTATAGTGTAATGGTGGACATTCTCAAGTCCACTCTAGCGTATCTTAAAAACCGTCCATAAATTATAGTCTCACCAGGAAAGCTACTGGCACTTATCACCAGTCATTCCCTATGATTAGTAAGCCAAAAAGTCCGGATTGCACAACGGGGAGTTGTCTTAATCTTATACCATATTTACACGAAGCTGTATTATTCAAATTCTACAGTTAGTTTGTTTCAAACTACGGGTTTAATGTCATATGGCTTTAGTTTGACTGTTTTCGTCATGTAAGGAGTTTCACCCGGTACTTGTTATCTGTCAACGATTAAGATATCTTAGTTTTATACGGTTAATGCATATAAATACTGGTGCCACTAATTACCAAAATAAGCATGTGTAACACATATAAATGTACTTTGTTCATACCCCGGCTTCAAGTCTTAAAATGAACACCTTTGCTTTTTCCAACTAGTCCTAGCAACGGTAAATAATATATAGTGTTAAAGCTGCTAGGATGATACTCGTATCACATTTAAGCTAATGAAGCCGGTATCTCAAGATGGTGACATTAATCGAATTGTTGTCACTATGCTCAAGTATGTTACAAAACCTGAGTGTTTTCAACTTGTTGCCACTGAAAGTCAGCAATCCTTCGGAAATGACTAGTCTAACCTGAAATGTTTTAAAAATTCTTAACTCCGAGAGACGCGGCTTCGCAAGTATAGAGCAAAACCACTTGCTAACACTATGTGGACATTGTCTTTTACCACCAAACTAGCACCACGATGGCCCTAGGATGGGTTCATACTAATGTAAGCCGCTCTCACTATACGCAGATTGATTGCACCACTCACGCCGCCACTATCACTTACACCGCCACCTAAATACACGAATTTTATGACCGCTTCTGGCGACGCTCCCGAGAGTGTGGGCGAAAGTTCCTGCCATTCTTGTGAAATTGTATACCGTACCTACAGACGGTGGTCGCCAACCTGTTCGGTACTATCCGTATAGCACGTATGTCGTCACACGATGCAGCAATACCGTCCATATACTCATGATCGAAAATTATCTCTCCAGGTAACAAATTTGCACTACCACTATCTGCTTTCACCAGAGCTTTTTCTGAAATTTCATCAACGGTAAAGTAAAAGAGAAGTTGTAAGATTGGGCAGCTCTTAAATGGAACAGTAGAGAGCGGTGATTTTGTGCTCACACTCTACCCGTAATGTTCGTGTACAGAGCTTTCGGGATGTTCATGAACTTCTCGGGCAAGCCCTTCAACAGTTAGGTCCGGGGAATAATCCTGTCCAAGGAATCAAAGGCAACCGGTTTGAAAACAAACGGATTATAGTTTCTCTTACTTATTACTCATAATTTGGCTCTATCTTATAACTCGTTCTGTAGTGAAAAGTATTTCGTATTAAATATTGTCGGGCAGTTTATACTCTTATACTCCAATGCATTTGTTATTTAGTGAATCTTGAGTTCTTTATTTCTGTTTTACTGCAAAGATCTCAATATATTTCAAATGACCGTCCCAAATGATGTTGCTCTATATGAGCTTGCAATCAAAGCAGGAGTTTATATGGATAACAAAGTTTTTAGGTATGATGCAACTTTTTAATTAACATTTTTCTTGAAGTGACTTATATCGGTTTCGTCAAACGGCTTTTTTTTCACTGTCTTGGGAATCTAAAGTCTGACTCATGCATATATCGTGTTTAGTAGGTTAGTTCTGCAAGTCTAATACATTTTTGGCTCAAAAATTGACCTAGAAATTCAGTTTTCCAAAACTTAAGGAGATCGCATACACTTGACAATTAGTGTCTTTGAAACATTACTTGGAAGTGATAGGATCGTGGATAAGAAATGACAATGGTCAGCAGAGTTCTGTGTAATAAAGTAGGTCACTCCTCAAGTTATCTAAAGCGGTAGTTTTGTTGTCGACAAAGTTGATCTTTGGCTAACGAATTGCGAGTTTAAATGTCATCTCACCTGCTTCAGCTTGAGTATCTATATAGTAAGCCTACCATTCACATAAATTATGAGTGAAAACCAAACTGACAATCTGGTACCTGGCCACTGGGCGATTAATTTTAGTGAAATTGAAACACCTTATTCTGTTTGTCATGTGTAATCAATAATCCCATCACGTCAATTGACGTTACCTAGTGTGGGATATACTTGGGAAACGGTTGGAAGTGAAAAGACCAATCCATTGTGTCATTTAAGGAAAAGCAAGATTCTTGTGGTCAGTGGTTAGACGCTATGAATGGTAGGGTTCAAAATAAGTCACAATAAAGCATTCATTCTTTGAAGTAAAACCCGAGTTCATCATTATTTCACTCTTGTGCACATGGCTCTGTTTAATTAATTGTGATCTGACGATCTAGTAAGGTAACTAATGCTATGTTTAAGGTATATGAATAACTAAGTTTCCGGTTGCATTTATCAATATTAAGAGAATAACTAGATAAAGTATGCTTACGTAAATGGATGACTTGGTAATCTATTCCATTTGTTCCCAGTTGTAAACTACTAAACACTTACGAGTATGCATTCAGTGCATTGGGTTTATAAAACATAGCATCTAAACCTGTAAGTTGGGAGACTCAAAGGTTTTCAGACAATGACTTCGTATCATCTCATGTCGTCATTGACTGTGGCTCTAACTCGTGTTTGGTGGTGTGAGCTCCCGAGTTATTGTCATCAAATTAACTGTATTTTTCTAGTTAAAGACCCCAAGTATGACATTAACAATTGTTGGGAATAGCCTGAATAGATCATTCAAATGTTAAATCCAAGTATTTCATCATTCTTAAATTTTATTCGTTATTTTTGAACTGTATTTCCCAAATTTAGTCCTTGATACTACTATTGCATGTACGGACTACCTGTCAGAACAGAACTGGGTCGTATACTGAAAAGTGGTTTTTATGTATAGTTATTGCAAATTACTATTTATTATTTTGATAACATTCAACTTTCCATATCTTTTCCTATTAGAAGAATATATGGCTTGATTTCATTGGGTTGCAGTCCAGACGTCATTTTTTCAATGTTAAAATATCTCACATCTGTCCAATCAATCAATCGTAATTCAATATCCAATATCAGTACAACTACTAGCAGGAGTACTGAACAACATCATCAGGTGAATAGATCGAGATTCTTAGCAAGTCGGATTTTAGAATCACAACAAAGTTTTCTTAGTACTTTTAGTGATCGTGATCAATATTTTAATGGACGGAATCATGAATTATGTAAAACGCTGTCAAATAAACCGAGAGTTACACAACATCATCTATATTCAAAACCAAACTTATAATACCATACTACGAACTAGTATAAGTAAATTGTGTCAAGATTTAGTGTTTCTTACAGTTAAACTTTTTAATTCATAATGTTGGTTCTGTTTTAAAATGTATTATTGTTTATAAAAGGCCTTGTTTTGTACCTCCTACATCAATCAGTTTATTCAAGAGATGTGACCATAAATATTTTTACAGAAAAAAACTGCTTTCTCCAGAATAACATGCGATGCTTCACTTCTTGTCCGAATAAACGAGGAGTAAAGTATTTACCGAACAGTTATAGTCAACAGTCTGGCTTAAATATCCTTCAGTTCACGGTATCATACCACGTCGGCAGAACGAGCGACACGTAACTGAATAGATACCCAGAGTTAAAGTAATAGTAGCAGTACCAATGACAATGGGGAAGCATCGGAAATGTGGTTTAAAAACAAAATGAATTCATCGAATGAAAAGAACGAATGTCATAGCAGAATAACATGAGTTCATTTATTTCGTGAATTCTCCTAATCTGCTTACAACCTAAAACCATGGTATTAATCATTAAAACGAAATAAGTTTACATAATTTACGCCGGAAATATCTATAATAAATTGAGTTAATATGTTGAGATAGAATAATTTTAAGAGAAGATATTAGAAAAGAACTGACACTGTTCGAGCATTCGCTCATTTATAAGTTAGATATATGAATATTCTAGGAGAGGATGGAGATGAACTAGCTGAGTGAAGCTCAGAAGTAAGAATTCAGATACCAGAAATTTTAGTTAAAGTTTATGGGAAATAGTCCCACGTAATAGTCTTTGAGAGAAGCTTAGCAGGGAAAAACAAGATTGGTAACTTTTATTTTACTTGTTTATTTAAACACATAAACATTGGCACAAGGAGGCACACAAATCAAATTTGTGTGGGGGCTGTGATACTGCTTCGGTTTGGGCACCCGGGCAGTATCACAGCCCACACACACACAAATATGGTGTGGCGCATATATATTTGGTGCCCTCTTGTACCAATATTTATGTGTTGAAATAAATACTGCCCGGGTGCCAAAACCGAAGCAGGTGCTTTTCCTAAGGGGCCACACTAGGAGCGTTCGACCTAAAGGTCTGATCCACAAAGCAGTGGGACATCGTGGGTGTAGTCCCATGGTATCCGGTGACCAACGATTGGTTCGTGCGCCGCTTGTCCCTTCAGGATATTGGATCCCATGTGCACCATTGGTTTGGAATCCGGTTAAAGTGCCGGACATTCGCTTTTCGTTTTCTCGAGTTCGTAGACAACACCCCTGCCACGAAAAGGCAGTGAGTAGGACTTCCCTGGAGGCTATATACGTGTGACCATGTGAGAGCATTTCGAGAGGGAAGGTGGACCCTCCCCCTTGCTCTCGGCCGCACCAGGGCATATGGGGGCTTTGAAGCATTTACCGGCGATCAGTTTACCCATCAGTATTCAGTTTGTTATTTCTTTCGTAATCCTAGAATAGTGATAATTATTTCTTATTATCCCTCGTTTAGTCCTAACAGGTAAAGTACATTTTGAATGAATGGATCTGATTAGCACAACAATCCCACATCTAGACAGAAGTGAATAATAAATATTTAGTTTACTGAACCTACAAATCTAGATGAATACCGTTTTTGCTTCGAGTGTAATTTTATCATGAAACCGAGAGAATAGCTAGTGAATGAATAAAAGACAATACATTAATATTAAACTATCACGGATATTACCAACATGTAGGAATTACAATAAGTTTAATACTATTCGGCAGAATTGAGAAGACATTAAGCGAAAAATAAAAAGGTATTTTTTTATTTATCAAGTTTAAATGCAACAATTAACTTCAATAGATCATATAAAACGTGATCAATTTAAAAAAAAATATATACATTATTCAAATGAATTCCAAAGACACTAATTTGGCTTATATCTTTAAAAGGTATCTCATAATATTGAATATAACTTATTGTACCAGTCTTTTCAATGAATACTAAGAGACCTGTGACTATTCCTTGATGCAAGAATAAACAGAATTAACCAAAGAATTTAAAATAAAATCCTTGTTAAGAGATCGAGCATGTGCATGATTTGTCACATACGCCCATGTTAGTTGTAACTGAGGGTCAATAAAAGCTCCTTGACCAAGAATATCATCCCACATGCCAAACATTAAAGTATTCTGTATAAAATAGGGAATAAAGACAATATATTTACGAAATAAGATTATGGAATAATCAAGTAGCCATACAAGATGATACTGAATTGACTTGTGCATATAATTTACTTAGCAACGATTTACTTTAGCAGTTTACTATATACATAATTTTAAAGGTGTATATATCAAATCAAAGTGAGTTCTGAAACTCTTATGCCACATTATCAAATTATCTACTACGTCTCTAATTTTACAGTACAAATTCCAAAAGCTCGTAATCTTGATTAAATTTTGCACTTAATAAGATAGAGAATTAGCGTTTACGGTATCACTGGCACGAGAATAACAAAACACCTACGAAGGTTTTGAAACAAAGTAACATTAGTTCAGCTAATAAGTAACACCACGATCGATACGAAAGTGTTTTTTACTAGAAATTTACCTTACTACATCAACAAAAAGCAATATTACTGTAAATTACATGGTATATTATAGTGACAATTGATATCAAACAGCAGAAAGCAAAATATATTTTAGAATAAATTACTAATAGCGAAAAAATGACAATTATGAATGATGAGTCTGCCAAAAGAACGCTTGTTAACAATTTTCTAATCAGTTTCTATAACTTTGATGGGATTTTGTTCTCTGAGCTGGATGGTTTGGTTGTGGAGCTTTAATCGTTCTTCTGAACGACATCATCAGCACAAATTTCAAGTAGGAGTAAAGTATTCGAATTTCTGCACATATAGCTCACAGCTTGTCCTGTAGAACTCGGTGTTGATTGGTTAATGTTGACATTAAACCTGTCATGGTTTACTCCTTTATTTTGGTTGTACCTCCCATTGGTCTGAACTTCAGTCCTGTATTTGTCAATAATTTTCCTGACTGGTTGGTGAATTGGATCGATTACAATGTGTTTGTTGATTGACCTAAGTGCCAAGCTTCTGAAACTTTTATGGCGTTTTTAAGAATGCTTCTATCCAAGATCTCAACACTGATCCAATAGGCTGGTATTTCTTGATGAGGTTGATTGGCCTTCAGGCTATTTTACTTTATTTGAACACATAAATATTGGTACAAGGGGCACCAGATATATATATGCCACACAAATCAATGACAATGGAAAAAGAAAAATTAAGGTGTGTATAAGAAAAAAAGAACAATAACAACCTGGAGCCCCTGTAGGGGCTACTGCAGGTCCCGAACCCGGATAAAATAGTTGGGCATGGGGTTAGCGACCCCATCCCATAGAAAAAACACCAACCAGAAAAAATTATTCGAACCTTTTAAACTCTACCCTGGGAGTCAGAAGGTCTTCATTCAGAAGAGTCATGACGCCTCATGGTGGAAGCCAAGTTCCTTCGGAAGTCACGAGGCCGATGCCCCTTGTGACAACCAGAGCAACCATTTATTTGGGTAAATGGAATGCTCGTACAATGGGACACCGGGAGAGCCTTCCAAACTGCTGCAGAAATGAGGAGATACAACCTAGAGGTGCTTGGGAACAGTGAAACACGTTGGACAACAACGACTAACTTCAAGGGAGCTTCTGTTATACTCCGGCCATGATGGAAAAAAATGCCCCACATACACATGCATTGATGCTGTCTAAGCAAGCCCAAAATACACTAATAGGGTGGGAATCTCATGGACCAGGGATCATCAAAGCCTCCTTCAAAACAAACAAAGAGGGTATTACAATGAACGTCATCCAATGCTATGCACCTACCAACGACTAAAATGAAGACGCTAAAGATCAATTCTACAATAGGCTGCAATCAATCGTCGAGAAATGTCCAACAAAGGACCTGACAATTCTGATGGGAGATTTAAATGCCAAGGTTGGAATGGACAACACCGGATATGAAGACATCATTGGGACGACACGGACTGGGAGAAAGGAACGAAAATGGTGAGAGATTTGCTAATCTATGTGCCTTCAATAAACGGGTCGTAGGCGGAACTATATTCCCACATAAGCGCATTCACAAAACCACATGGACTTCACCGGATCATACTACGCAAAACCAAATCGGCCATATCTGCATCAACAAAAAGTTCAGGAGGACGATGGAAGACGTGAGAACCAAGAGAGGAGCTGATATAGCAACAGATCATCACTTGCTGGTTGTCAAGTTGAAATTAAAACTCAAGAAGCACCAAACAACAGGGTGGACAACATCACAAAAGTTCAATACGGATACTGACAAACCTAAAAAATTTAGAACAGTTCTCAACAAAAGATTCCAGGCCTTTCATGATCTACTCAATGGAGAAGGGACTACTGTGGAGAGCAACTGGAATGGGATCAAAGAGGCAATCACTTCAACATGTCATGAGGTTCTGGGCCACAATAAGAAGCATCACAAGGAATGGATCACTGTTGATACACTGGGTAATATTCAAGAAAGGAGGAACAAGAAGGAAGCAATCAATACCAGCCGAACAAGAGCAGAAAAAGCCAAGGCACAAGCTGAATACACAGAAGTAAACAAACAAATGAAGAGGAGCATCAGAACTGACAAACGTAAATATGTGGAAGATTTAGCAATGACGGCGGAAAGGGCTGCAAGAGAAAGAAACATAAGACAATTGTATGACATAACAAAGAAACTCGCTGGAAATTACCGTAAAGCAGAACGATCAGTGAAAAGCAAGGAAGGCAAGGTAATCACCAACATTGAAGAACAACGAAACAGGTGGGTAGAACCCTTCAACGAACTCTTGAATCGACCAGCCCCACTAAACCCACCCAACATAGAAGTAGCACCCACGAACCTCCCAATCGATGTTGGCCCAACAACAATTGAAGAAATCAGCATGGCCGTCAGGCGAAGCATCAGGACCAGACAACATTCCAGCAGAGGCACTGAAAGCATACGTAGCAGTAATTGCAAGGATACTCCACATTCTCTCCAGCAAGATTTGGGATGAGGGACAAGTACCAACAGACTGGAAAGAATGACATCTGATCAAAATACCAAAGAAAGGCGATCTCAGCAAGTGTGATGACTACAGAGGCATCACTCTTCTCTCAATACCAGAAAAAGCCTTCAATGGGGTATTGCTAAACAGAATGAAGGACTGCGTAGACGCCCAACTTCGAGACCAAAAGGCAGGATTCCGTAAGGATCGATAGTGTACAGACCAAATCGCAACACTACGGATCATTATGAAACAATCAATTGAATGAAATTCATCACTCTACATCAATTTCATTGACTACGAAAAAACATTTGATAGCATGAACAGGACAACACTATAGAAGCTTCTTCGACACTACGGCATACCTGATAAGATAGTCATTTTATTTATTATTTATTTTAACACATAGATATTAGTACAAGGAGCTGTAAACGCTCGCTACTCGGACACAACTGGTCGAGTGAGAGCTTATGGCGAACTTTCATCAGATTTGATTACCTCGAGTGGTGCTCGTCAGGACTATCCACTCTCTCCATTCTTGTTTAACTTTGTCGTTGACGTGTTTTTAGAGATAATACTTTCCTCATCTAAATTTCCAGGGGTGGAACTTCTACTGGGAGATTCACTTTTTGACCTAGAATATGCCGATAACATAGTTCTATTCGGTGAAGACGCTGACAAAATGCAGTTTTTTGACCGTCCTAAGCAACAATGCAAGCATGTTCGGGATGCAATTCTCACCCTCAAAATTCAAAATGCTGCTTTAGGATAACGTTGCATCGACCACCGAACCAATGATAAGGAGTGACGTAGTTTAGCGTGTCGACCGCTTCATTTATCTTCGAAGCCTCATCAGCCTTTTTCGTTTGGTATGTGACGAAATCGCAGCACGGATACAGAAGGCTCGAATAGCTGTTGCCAACTTGCATCATTTATGGTGTAGGCGAGATATCTGTCTATTAAACAAAGGACGTGTTTACTGCGCAGTAGTTCGTTCCGTCATACTTTATGGCTGTGAAACATGGCCGGTAAGAGTAGAGGATATTCGTAGGTTACTAGCATTCGATCGCAGGTGTCTTCGAAACATTGCTCGTATATCATGGGACCATCGAGTAAGTAACACAGTTGTTAGGAAACGGGTACAAGGTAAGGATGGCGCAGACCAAGGCATGGTCAGAGTCCAGATAGGTACTCCAAAAGGAGCGGCAGTCTTTTACACAACCACGCCAGCGGTAGCTGATCGCGATGTGATCAATCTGAGTCCAGACATGAGTTGCAGAAGGAGGACACCAGGTGGCACATCGACGATGACTGTGCCGAAAGTTGTTGCTAGCCAGAAACAGCTTGTGCTCTGTGCACAGTTGCAGTAGACGGTCCCCGTTATCAGTCCTGCTACCAACAAGTCCCCATCGGCCACATCGCGATCAGCTACCGCCTGCGTGATGTTGCACAAGATTGCCGCTCCTTTTGGAGTACTTATCTGGACTCTGACCATGCCTTGGTCTGCGCCAAACTTACTTTACTTTTCAGTGGACAACGAGGTGACCACAATCAAAGGTTTGATGTCAGCAAGTTGGTTGCAACTTCTGTTGCGAGTAAGTATCGAACCGAACTAGCTTGTAGGCTAGCTACCATCCCACCGAAAATTATAGATGAGCATTGGTTACAATTGCATGACGCCATGAAAATGGCGGGTACAGTCAGTTGTGGGTTCGCGAAACGTCCCGCTTATAAGCACTGGGTTTCTTCAGGTTCCTTACAACTCATTGAAGCCCGTCAGTCTACTCCGTGTGACCGTGAGTTTGGCCACAAACTACGACTGTTGCGTAATGAAATCTGGCAAAGCTTGCGTAAGGATCGAGAAGCCTAGTTTTCGGAGCGTGCTAATGAACTGGAAGCAGCAACTGCATGTGATAACTACCGGAAGCTCTTTCAACCCATCCGAGCCACTGGCAACAAGAAGTCTGGTGTGAGCGAAACCATCTGTGAGGATGACCGGATGCCAATCACTAACATCCATCGGCGTCTTGGACGATGGGCAGAATTCTTCGAAGGGCAGTTCAACTGGCCTGCTGCTCCGGCAACATCGGTCAGACTGTCCTGCCCTCCATGGCCGGTGACGACTGATCCACCAAATGAGACGAAAGTCCGCAAGAAACTTTAACTCTCAAAGCTCTACAAACCCGAGAAAGGTTGACTCGCGAGGAGCAGGCTGGTTTTCGTTCAGTTCGAGGATGTATTGATCATATCTTCACCCTCCGCAAAATGTTAGAACACCGTCATACTTATCAAAGGCCAACAATCGTAGTGTTTCTTGACATTAGGGCTACTTTCGATTCGTTGAACAGGACTGTTCTCTGGGATTGTCTATTGAAGAAGGGTGTGCCTGAGAAGTTTATTAACATCCTAAAAGCCCTATATAAAAACACCTCAGGCAGAGTGAGGGCATACAACCACCTCTCTCCATTGTTCTATACGAGTAGTGGGGTTAGGCAGGGTTGCCCAATCTCACCATTCCTCTTCAACTTTGCCATCGATGACATTCTGAAAACAACTCTGTTGAATGTAAGTAATGGCGGTGTGTGTCTGTTACCTAGAGAAAGACTTCTCGACCTTGAGTATGCGGATGATATTGTCTTACTGTGAGATAATGCCCAAGGCATGCAATTCGCACTTAATCAGTTGGCAATCAGCGTCCGTAGGTATGGTATGTGCTTTGCACCTTCGAAGTGCAAAGTACTTCTACAAGACTGGCAGGATTCTAATCCTGCAGTCATCCTGGATGGTGAGCAGATTGAAGTAGTCGAGAAGTTCGTGTATCTGGGTCGCTGCATAAGTGCTGGTGGTGGCATGAGTGATGAGATCAATGGACGTATAGTGAAAGCCAGAGCGGCTTACACCAATCTGGGCCATCTTTGGCGCCTTCGTGATGTTAGTCTGACTGTAAAAGGTCGAATCTACAACGCGTCAATGAGAGCAGTTTTGCTCTATGCTTGTGAAACCTGGCCTCTCGGAGTTGAGGACGTTAGACAACTTTCTGTGTTCGATCGTCGCTGTCTCCAAAGGACTGCTGACATCCAGTGGCAACACCATGTTAGTAATGCAGGGGTTCGGCATCGTATGTTTGGGCAAAGAGACGATAATGCAATTGGTGTCACCATCCTGAAACACCGACTTCGGTGGCTTGGACATGTTCTACGAATGTCGTCCCAGAGAATTCCACGTTGTGGATTATGTGCCGACGCTGGGACTAGTTGGAAAAGGCGGAGAGGTTGTCAATGTATGACATGGTGTCGTGGCATGAAAAAAATATGCAAAGGGCTGGCTTGTGTTCGTCCTTCACGACTCCCTGGTTGGGGTCCGAGAGATGGTGCTAAACAGTGGCTAGTGACGTTATCAGATATGGCTCAGAATAGAAGCCAGTGGCGATCCTGCTGTAACCCTCTTTTACTTTCTTCGTAAAAAGTGGTTGCTTCTTCCTTAAGTGAAATATTTCTTCTGATTGTACCTTTTCGTTCCCCCCATTATCATTACTATTACACTACCTTACACTAATCTGTTCGTTATTGTTCTTGTTTTACTCTCCTTACCTTTTTTCCCTTTTCTTTAAATTCTCATTGTTTTATGTGGCGCATATATATTTGGTGCAGTTGATTTTCTGTGCTCTTAGGTTGTTGCTACTGTAATTGAGAATTTGATCCGTGTGGGTTGGCTTCTGACATACTCGAGTTTCCAGTTTCCCTGTGTCGGTTCTAGTGATTAATACATCCAAGAATGGTAGTTTGTTGTTCGATGCCTGTTTCTTTGTGAATTGATGTCATCGGCGACGTTGTTGATCAGATTGTAGGTGTTTTCCAGTTCGTCCTTTTTGACTATGACGGATTCGTCGTTAACTTAACGAATCCAATTTCTTGGCTTGATCACTGGTAGGATTGAGGCTTCTAGTCTCTGCATCACTGCTTCTGAGATAAGTCCTGACATTGGTGATGCCATCAGTGTTCCTTTCGTTTGTTCGTAGATTTTGTTGTTGAGTTGAAAGTATGTTGTTAGGTATCAATAGATGACTTTGAAGCTTCGTGTACTTTGGGAGATGTGTCGTTGGTGAGAAGCAGGGATAGAGTTTCCTCTGCTAAACTTTGTTCAATTGAGGCGAATAAGGCTGTTACATTGAATGATATTATCAGTTCGTCGTTGTTGAATTGAACGTTCCTAATCTGATCCAGGAATTGTAAGGGGATACAATCAGAATTTAATCATTTTTAAGGGCTTAAGTAAAATTATTAGATGTAAACATATTTGTGCGGAATATTTTATCCAAATGAAAACATTTACAGCAGAATGACGTGGTGAGACCGAGAATTAAAACTGACTTTCTTGTACTATACGTCCTAATATCTAATTTGTTTGAAGCACGCAAAATTACTGTTGAGTAAAAACTGCATTTCTGCTTCATGGAAGGTGGCACTATGCTGACCTTGTTTAGAATATCTAATGTAGTGAATCCATTAATTCCATCGTTCTGAATGGTCATTTAGTACTTGAAACTACATTATACTATAATGTAATGTAAATTTTTTCCGGAATTACTAATCAAATAAACAGTACCTTCGGTGAATTAGTGACCATAAAGCCTGCCGAACTGAGTTTCAAATATCGATGAAGAACTGGATCATAAGAAGATGTGTTAACAACCTGTAGCATCCAATTTCGTATCGACTTTTTAAAGAAGAATTGTGCAGTGTCTGATACAGTCGCATTTGTTAATTTATCTACTGAATTTTCCAAAAGAGTAAAAAGACGAGCCAAATTTCGTGCGTTTGTGAACAGGTGTGATGAAACCAGTGGGATTTCCAAAAGATCAGGATTCCAATTATAATAAAGCTGTACATAAAAAAGAACGAAAACTAAACCATGAACAAATGTCAATCTATTTATTAAGTGGTGGTTTATGACAACTTGATTACTACACCAAATCCCACTGATGCACGACTGGTATAACAAATCTAATCATGCATGTACAGAGAATTGTACATCAAGAATGACTTCAGTAAATGCATATGAATAGTCAACAACAAATCAATGGCTACAATAGACAAGTCAAAAGCTATTGATAATTTAATTTCCAAAGTAAATTGCACAGAAGAGACAAGTGTTTTGAGTATCGACTGGCAGCCTAAACAGTGTGACGATAAAAATCCGAAATTTCTGCATAGAAACTTAGGATGTGGAGCAAACATGTGTTAAACACAGGCTGTCACAAATCACATTAATAAAATCAGAAATTTAATCACACGGAAATCAAAAACGTGAAATAATAATATCAGTAGAGGTCAGAAATAAAGACAGGAAAAAAACAAATGAGAAGTGTAGAACAATATGACTTAGGGCCTAAAGGAAGATCACGATCAATTTTGAACCATGTTATCAGAGATTTCTAATCATAAGTTATGATTATTTAGAGGACCTGGATAAGAACGTCTGTATCGTCCAATGCGGCTGAAAGTAACTGCTAATAACTTGATGAACTGATACAATCGCACAGTGGGCAGTATACGACCCGTTAGCACAGTAGTGGATATGGAGTTATTATATCATTTAGCGTTTGCAGTCTGCACCATCTTGATATGCTATCTTGGAATATATATTTAACTGCCTTGAACATAAAATTTTATTTCAACACATAGATATTGGTACAAAGAGGCACCAAATACATATGCGCCACACCAATCTCATTCGATATGTGTGAGGGCTGTGATACTGCCCGGGTGCCCAGACCGAAGCAGGTGGTTTTCTTAGGGGGCCACACCCCAAGCATCGTAAGGAGATGCATTCCCATTGTAGCCGGTGACCGAGAATTGGTTCATACGCCATTCGTCCCTGCAGAATACTGGAGCCCATGTGCACCATTGGTTTGTAATCCGGTTAAAGCGCTGGACATTCGTTTTTCGTCCTCTCATTTTCGTAAACAACACCCCCGCCAAGAGAAGGTAATGAGTAGGACTTCCCTGGCAGAGGCTATATACGCGTGACCATGTGAGAGCATTTCGAGAGGGAGAGCGGACTCTCCCCACTCTCGGCCGTACCAGGGCATAAAAACGTATGTATGCATCACTATGAGACTTATCATTAGAAATAGGGTAATTGTGATGATAGAAGTGCTTACCTCATAATCACTAAACACGTTCAACACCTTATTTCGCTCTTTTGAATATGGAAGCCAACCAGCAGTGACCAAATTTGTCCACGGATATGTCACGTCCAGATGTAAAATGGCGCTGAGTACACTTAAAGCATCGGCGTGATATGTTCGTGCAACACGATATAGTTGGGTACGTGGAATCCCAATAAGCATATCTAAACCTTAATTACAATAAACATAGTATGAATGAAATTGGTTTATAAAACAGTTTGCAAGAATATCTTGAATAGAATTTCCATGTCTTAAATTTTACACACAAATTAATGCTAAATAATGATTGGAAACGAAAATCACCGTGTAACAATCTAAAGACAGTACAAATAGAAATTATTTTTCTATTGGTCTTATAAACAGTTCATTCACACTGCTTACCAAGAGGCCATGCGATTTCTTCCATGAAATAACGTGCCAGTGTCCGTTTCTTGTGGTCTACTTTGCGCACGATTGCATCAGACAATAAGGCCAATGAATGTAGATGAAACATTTGAGTTCCTTTACAACGTTTATTATTGATTCTTAGACTTACGTGGTGGGACAGGAGGTATCTGGTTAGTGATATCGTTTAGAGCATTCCTGTGGTCATCTCTCCATTTAGCTAGGGATGAATGACCTACAAAGTATGGAAAACCGGACTTTCTATATCAGTAAGCGTTATCAAATACCTGATGCGTGAGTAAATCAGATACAGTAACATTGGCAACCACGAATTGGGGAAGATAATGTTGTATCGAAGATTCAATATCCAAAAGTTCGCTGAAATGATAAGATGGATACTTTACTCTTACTCTTGGTACAATTTAGCGAATGAGAAAGGAACAACAACCATAGACACAGTGAACAGTTGGCTAATAGTTGAAGTTACCCATGGCAGTCGAAATCGTTTATCAACATAACCTCCAATCGCATCGACAACATGTTCCCCACGATAGTAGACAGAAAAAGAAGAGCCAAGTTCATTGTTTTGCTGTATTTGATTTCTGAAATATACATGAGTTATATTAACTTACTTATAAACATGGATTGCGTGTTTAAATTGAATAGAACTTGACCCACTCATTAGTGGTTGCAAATAAAAAAGTGAATATGAATATCCCAATACAAAGCATGACACACCCAGAATAATACCAAGCCAGGCTGAGAAATGGATCTGCTGAATAAAATTAAATTCATTTATAGCTGGTGAAAAACTGCAAAATTTTCACACATTTAACTTTGTGTATAGTATAGCTATCTAAGACATATTTTTGCCTGGATTATTACAGGACCATAAAACAGGGAACAAATTAGCAACTGACTAGGAATATATTACTATCATTAAAAAGTTAGGAAATATATTGTTTAAGTGAAAAAATGAACCTTAATGTAAATGCTAGTTTACTTAACCATGTTAACAAAGAAAAAGACCGGTATCACACAATTCCCGTATTTGTTAGTCACCGAGTGAACGATCATTTACTAAGGAGTTTAATTAAAAGGACTCAATACGATAATTTTGGATAAAATTTGCTTAACATATAGACTTTGGGAACATTATCGGTTTAAAATTTTATTTTTTTTATTCAAACACATAAACACTGGCACAAGGAGGCACCAAATAGATATGCGCCGCATAAATCATCCGATTTGTGTGAGGGCCGTGATACTGCTCGAGTGCCCAGACCGAAGCAGGTGGTTTTCTTAGGGGGCCACACCCCGAGCCTTTGGCCTTAAGGTCTGATCCACAAGGCAGTGGAGCATCGTGAGGAGATGCAGTCCTATGGTAGCCGGTGACTAACAGTTGGTTCATACGCCATTTGTTCCCGCAGGATACTGGAGCCCATGTGCACCATTGGTTTGTAATCCGGTTAAAGCGCCGGACATTCGCCTTTCGTTTTCTCGAGTTCGTAAACAACACCCCCGCCACGGGGAGGGAGTGAGTAGGACTTCCCTGACAAAGGCTGTACACGCGTGACCGTATATAATAATGATAATAACCATCTATAAATACTAAAAGGAATATTTTTAAAATGAAAACTTGTAATTTTCTCTAATCATATTACAAGCGAGCACACCCACGAACTTCTCTAAACTACATGCCCATTGTTAGCATCCTGTTTATCAGCACAGTATGAGTTAACTAGAAGATATTTCAGAGTCAAGGTGTCATGATTAATGTAATTTAAATAACTATGCATTCGTCCTCCGGTAGTTTTTGTGAATGCTCAATAAGTCCCCAAGCAATTAGTTTTGAGTATGGTCTACATACCATGACAAACCATACAACCAGATCTGCTAGCACATAGAAAATAACAGATTCTAAATGATATATAGTAATACGTGGATAGACATATACTAAGATAAAGCCAATAA